GTGTGTGTGTGTGTGTGTGTGTGTGTGTGTGTGTGTGTGTGTGTACCTGTAAAGATCCAGCGCTGCTCAGCCGGACTGCACGGTAACAGGGCTGTCTGCTCAGATGTGCAGGGAAGCCACACACAGTCTTCAGTGTGTGCCTGACGTCAGACAGGAAGCCGCCCAGCGCCCCCTGCAGGTCGACCCGAGGACAACGCTGCACCGGCTGCAGGCGGATGCAGCTCAGAGGGTAGCTGCTCAGGACGGAGGTGAAAGGAACTCTGAGGTGAAAACTTTGTCAGATTTGAGATTTTCCTTCTCACTGCAGAGCAGCGGTGGTTCATGCTGCTGCTCTGTCCTTGTTGGTAGTAAAACACGAGGCTGATCTTTACTCCTGCATGTAACTCTGAGTATATCGTACTGTTCATCTCTACCTGCCATCTGACAAACACTGTAACAACACTGATTTGAATGTGGTTTAAAGCGGCTCTGAGGATACCTGAAGAGTATCTCTCCCAGCAGCCTGAAGTAGACGCTGCAGTACAGCACCTCATCCTCTGCCAGCTCAGGCAGTCTGTAGCCATACTGGAAAACACAGAAACAGATCAAACTTCGTGTCTGCTCCTCAGCATCAGACATGAAGCTCCTGCAGTTTATTCAAACTGTGATATATCCCATCGTACTGATACTGTTGCTCAGAGCTGGTCAAGGAACAAAAACCTGCGTTTGCATTTAGACTGGGACGCTTGCAGTGTCGTAGTAAAGCTGATTTAGTTGGGTTTTTAACTTTATTTAAAAATCTCCTGATGGAACTGTGATGGCTCAAACACTGCTGAGAAACATCATCAAAAAGAACTTGGACCCACCTTTATGAACCCTGTAAATATTCCCAGTATGAAGTTAAAGGTTGGGGAGCTCATACTCAGACTGTGGACTGTAATTAACAGTCTCAGACTCACTGCAGAAAACCTGCAAAAACTGGAACTGTGCTGTTTTTCAGGGTGGAGCAAAGGAGCACATGCAGAGGGTTGGTGTGATGAGGAGGATGTGCGGGGTAAGGTGGACATAAATATCTGTCATTTAATGCTTTATCTACTTTGGTTTAGTAAGCCAGACCATTTATAATGTGCTCGTCTGCAACACAATCATTTATTCAGAAGTCCCAAATTTCTTTGGAGCGTGTTCTGGTCCAAGCAGGTCTTTGTGTGAGCAGAACTCTGACTCCAGCAGAGCGGTCTGTGCACCTTTCAGCACTACTGTCATTCCCCTCCATGTTTCTAAAGCTTTTCTGCTTCCTGCCTCAGAGTAACCTCACATTCAGTCTGAGTCACGTTGCCATGCCAGCCTCATGTGCTCCACAGGAGATCTGTCCACTCAGCTCCTGGGTTTAAGAAGAGGCTGAGACCGTGTGTGTGTGTGTGTGTGTGTGTGTGTGT